GAAGGCTTCATCAGTCAAGGAAACACAAAATTGATTCTTCCCCCAACAGTTTACTCCAAAGTGGAACAAACCAGTTATGTTTGTGCTAAGATGAAGCCTTCTGGATCAAAGGTGAAACGTTTCAGCACAAAAAAGAAACTGTCCAGATGACCTGACTGAAAAATGTTGGATTGTATACCTGGATTATTGAGCATGGACTTTGTTGGCTGAAAAAAAACAGTTGAAACAGCTGAAAGTAGCTGAAAAAAGTTTAGATTTGCACAAGGAAGCTGAAAGAAACAACCAGAACAAAATGTGAAAGGAGCAGTAAAAGTTTGTAAACAGCTAAAGATTTGAAGGATGTAAAATGAGCTCAATTAGTTTTCTATGGGGGGAAAAAAAATGGCAGAAAAGGCTAAATATTTCAAAAAGCTAAAGTTGCACCAAAAGTCATAGCAGTGTTGTCCTGAAAAAACTGAATGTTTTGAAATATGAATTGTTGAAATAGCTTGAAAACTGCAGTACGAGGATCACGCCAAAAAAATGTGCAGAAGAAAAATGGATCACAATAGTGTGAACGCTTCATAAACATTCACACAATAATTGCAGATTCAAACTTGGTGATAGAAACTGGAAATTGGTTCTATAAAGAAGAGCATGATAAGTGAAAGCTCTCCCGCCCATTCTACTTTTAGAAACCACTGAAGCCACAAGTAAACCTGCAGCATGAGAGCGAAGGAGAATGAGGAACAATAAGATCTGAGCTGTAAGAGTTTAAATATTCTGAATTTACAAGGAGCCAACAAAAAGAAGCTAAAATTGCAGCTAAAACGGTCTCATCACTGTATCGCAGTGTGTCATGGATCAGCAGGTGCTGACGTACCAAGTTTTCATCATCCTACTGTGACAAAAGACGAATTTCACGCACTGTCCATTTAGCATAGCGATCCTTAACTGATCCCCTTTTGCTACGCCACATTTGCTTGGACCAGCTAGGTTCTATTTCTAACAGGAATTTTTTTTTCCACACTGATGTGGAATAGCAGTCGACAGAGGGAGATTAGGTTAAAATGGGTTCCAAGGCTGCCAGCAGAGGAGCTGCTTGGGCTACTTCAAGTTTCCCGTATCTTTAGTTCCGTGTTGTTGGTGGTTACTCTGCTGTGACAGTCTGGTTGCTTCACATTTAAGAGGACATGGCTGGAATTAGGAATGTGATCAGGCCAAATGTGCAAAACCAGGGAGGCGAGGGGTATCTGTGACATAGTTTGCATATGATTACAACAGAACATTCCAGGCTGTGAATAAATTGGCACTTGGATTTCACAGAGTGAGACTTACATCTTCATTAAATTTCCTATGAATTTATTTGGCTAGTTATACAATGTTTGCAGACCAGTATGATACTGAAAACATGGCTGTAATGGCCAAGTGTGCAAGTTCTCCTGAAAATTTATTTATATGGCTTATAGTATCAGCTAACACTGACAATAATGCCTGTCTGTGTGTCTCCCCCCTCCTCCACTTTCAGGTTTTATCCAGACAGGTACCCAACACAAGACCTGAGGGAGAACTTCTGTCGAAATCCCAGCAATGACCCCGGTGGTCCGTGGTGCTACACCACAGACACCAACGTACGAGCCGAGGAGTGTGGCATACCAAAGTGTTCGCACGGTGAGACTAAATATTCTCTGTGGGCAACGTGGTTCTGATAAAATAAAGCAAGAAATGAGAAGTGATCAAGGGTTTAATTAGTGTTTATATGATTTATATCTTGAGTTTTGTTTGTGCTCATGAAGGGAAAGTTTTGGTAATTGTTGTTTCTGTGTTGGCAGAGGTCTGTATGACGTGTAATGGAGAGGATTACCGGGGCAAAATGGATCGTACAGAAAGTGGCAAGGAGTGTCAGAGATGGGACTCACAAAAGCCTCACAAACACAACGTGCAGCCGAAAATGTAAGCTGAAGACCACCAGAAACATCCTCATGACAGATGACTGAATAAACTAAAGAACTCCTTGAAGGAATGCAGATCAGCCGCCGCCTTTCATGCTAGCGTTTTAGACAAAGACCATCTTGTAACTTAGGAGTTGTCTGGGTCAAACTTTAAAACTTAACGTTAGGTGCAGTCCCAATATGACAAGACGTCAGGCTCAGTCTCAGAGTACTGTATTTTCCGCTGTATACATCGCACCGCCTTGTCACATCAGTCCAAATATGTATAATAAAGTAGAAGAATCCATAAATATGTCGCTTCGCCGTATACGTTGCATCTATCACATCTGGAGATGTGAGCCGAACCCGGAAATGTGGGCCGGTGTTGTCAAAAATCAATGGGATGCCAAATGGCGGCCGCGGGGGCATGCACGGTAGGACTTTAACAAGAATTTAACAAGATTAAAACTTAAAAACATTTATTTGTTTGCTCGAAATTATAGTAAAGGTGTGTCCAAGTCTAACTTGTCCATAATAAATGCACTTTGACTCTCAAATCAGATGAATTTCAAAAGCCAGTAAGCGGAAACATGAACGCGCAGAGGGCGACTCGCTGTGCATTTCTTCAAAATTTAACACGATAACCACCTAAAAACAATTACTTGTGAATTCGACTTTATAGTAAAGGTGTGTCTCAGTTGAACTTTTACTTAATAAATGCACTTTAATGGTCAAATCAGCTGCATTTTGTCGGGGCGGCGCAGTGAAATGAAGCTAATTTGACAGTTGCTCCAAGCAGACGACAGTGTCAGTCTATGGCAAGTCGATTGTGTCATTAATAGCCACTTTTCCCTATTTCATGATACAATGGCATGCCATACTACTAGAGTGCCATCTAGCGTCTGAAAATGGTAGTGTTCAATATTTTCAGTCAGAATGAATGAAAACGGTCATATCTCAGCCAAAAATTGGTTTATAGATATGGGGAAAAAAATCCATAAATATGTTGCCTTGTCGTATAAGTCGCAGAGCATTTAAATTATGCAAAAAAACTGTGACTTACAGGGCGAAAAATACTGTATATGCTGTGAATGATTTTCAGCTACTACCACATCAAATTTTAACTAAATATCTGTAAAACTGATAGAGTTGTGGCCATTTTTGTGTTGGCTAATGTCAATTAACTGTGGCGACCTATTTAACTTGAATTGTCAACAAAACTTAGTCTTCTTTTTCTCTATATCTTGTCAGGTATCGGGATAAAGACTTAAAGGACAATTACTGTCGTAACCCAGATAATCGTCTTCGACCTTGGTGCTTCACCATGGATCCACAAACTCCATGGGAGTATTGTAACATCACCGTGTGCGGTAAGGGCTTGGTTTTAGTCTTAAAACTTCTGAACCTGGCAACCTAGTAGCAGAGTCTTTGAATCTAATCAGCACTTTGGTTGAACAAAAAAAACTGGAACTATCTCTTCAACATTGTCTTCTAAGTACGTTTCATGTGGTGTTTGACTTTAAATCTTTCTACCTCAGCAAGGTAAGGCAAATAAATTGTGAAGGAAATCATCCGACTTAAGACAGTTGTTCTGAGAGGTAGAAAGAAGAGGATATCAATGGATCTCATTCACACAGACACTGAAAGGTCCAGTAGCTGTTGAAACCAGAAGGCATAGAGACAGATCGATGTGCAAAGAGGAAAACAATTGCAGATGCTTCCTTGCAGGGCTCAAGGGGTCATTGAATGGTGTGATGAACATGAGAAGGATTTAAATCAGATGCTGTGGCCCTCACAGATACTCAGATAGTCAGAGCTCCTGCTATAATCCAGCACCAAGTAAGTTTGGATCTTTTCCAAAATAGTGCTTTAATCAGATAATGTATGGAAAAATAACTACAATTCACTTTTTGGAGGAGAATGTTGTGTCCCGTTCTTGTCTGCTATAGAATTTGGACTTGACACTCCTGGGTAATCTTTGTTTTACATTTTGTTTCATGGGGAGTCAAATGTTTTCTGTTCGTAAGAGGGTCTGGACTGCAGGCAGGCTAGTTCAGCACTGGACTCTTATATCAGTGGTACCCAACCATGCTCCTTGAGGAACACCGTCCTGCATGTTTTAGTTGTTTCCCTGCTCCAACACACCTAATTCAGTGGTTTAATTACTTCATCAAGTTCTGCAGAAGCCTGTTAATCACCCATTTATTAAAATCTGGAGCAGAAAAACAACGAAAACATGCAGGATGGTGTTCCTCAAGGACCACAGTTGGGAACCCTTGTCATATGACAAAACAATTATGTTATAATGAATGCAGGATGTTGTATAGCATTGTTTTGCTGAAATATGCAAGGTCTTCCCCAAAAAGGATGTTGTCACTGGGTTGTCATGCAAAAACAGAGTTGTATCTCTCTCTCTCGCTCTCTCTCTCTTCTGTTAGAGGAAGAATAAGTTTTGTTGTGTGTTTCCTTGACTGATGAAGCCTTCCGGACTGAAGGCGAAACGTTTCAGCACAACAAAAAAAAAAGAAACTGTCCAGATGACCTGACTGAAAAATGTTGGATTGTATACCTGGATTATTGAGCATGGACTTTGTTGGTCTTTTTATACTTAGTCCTCTTACTGACATGTTTTAAATAAATGTAATTAGTTGGAAAATGCTCTTCTAGCTGTTTATTCTTGCCACTTACGTTCACAGCTTTTTGTTTCACCTGTTAGGATGGAATGTTTCACAGTGGAAAATTATTGACCCGTCCCAACGTTTTTGAGACGTATTGCTGCCATCAGATTCAAAATTAGCTTACTTTTTCTTCAGAAAAGGAGTTTGTCTTTGGAAGGTTTGTTCATTACTTTGTCACAGTTCACTAACTTATACTGGTAAGCACACCCACAAACACACAGAGTGTATAACTTTTTTCCTGTTTTTTTTTTCCTCCATCAAACACAAACCGCACTTTTACAGTACAGCGTATGATTTACGACGAGGGTGGAGGTTCTTCATTTATCCAGATGTGCGCATCCCTTAATGCCTGCCCTCTGAAAGATAAAAAC